CATCAAACATCGAACATGAAACATCAACCATCATGAATCATCAAACATCAAACATCGCACATCAAACACCAACCCTCATTGAACATAAAACATCAACAAACATCAAGCATCACACCTCACACATCATCCAACATACATCATACATTATCCAACATCAAACATCATACACCAAACACCAAACATCATTAAACATCATAGTCAAACACCAAACATCATTCAACATCATCTATCATCAAACATCAAACATCAAACATCAAACCCCATTCAACATCAACCACCAAACATCGTACACCAAGAACCACCATACATCCTACATAACCAAGCACCATACATCAATCATCATACATCATCATACATCATTATACATCATCATACATCATCATACATCATCATACATCATCATACATCATTATACGACAGCAGACATCATCATACATCACCATACATCATCATACATCATCATACATCATCATACATCATCATACATCATCATACATCATCATACAGCATCATACATCTCTCATGAAACGCACACCCACACCCACACCCACACCGACACCCACACAATCTCTTTTTTTGTTGTTAGAGCCGTTGGAAACGCGAAACCTCCATCACCACCCTTAAGTCGTCTCACGGACGAACTGCCCGGCCACCATCCCCCGGTCAGCCCTCGTAGTAGTAGTAGTAGTAGTAGTAGTAGTAGTAGTAGTAGTAGTAGTTAGTAGTAGTAGTAGTTAGTAGTAGTAGTAGTAGTAGTAGTAGTAGTAGTAGTAGTAGTAGTAGTAGTAGTAGGTAGTAGTAGTAGTAGTAGTAGTAGTAGTAGTAGTCGTAGTCGTAGTCGTAGTCGTAGTCGTAGTCGTAGTCGTAGTCGTAGTCGTAGGCGTAGTCGTAGGCGTAGCCGTAGTCGTAGTAGTCGTAGTCGTAGTCGTAGTCAGTAGTAGTAAGTAGCAGTAGTAGTAGTAGCAGTAGTAGTCGTCGTCGTCGTAGTAGCAGTAGTAGTCGTCGTAGTCGTAGTAGTCGTAGTAGTAGTAGTAGTAGTAGTAGTAGTAGTAGTAGTAGTCTTAGTAGTAGTAGTAGTAGTAGTAGTAGTAGTAGTAGTAGTAGTAGTAGTAGGTAGTAGTAGTAGTAGTAGTAGTAGTAGTAGTAGTAGTAGTAGTAGTAGTAGTAGTAGTAGTAGTAGTAGTAGTAGTAGTCGTAGTAGTAGTAGTAGTAGTAGTAGTAGTAGTGGTCGTAGTACTAGTCGTAGTAGTATAGTAGTAGTAGTAGTCGTAGTAGTAGTAGTAGTAGTAGTAGTAGTAGTAGTAGTAGTAGTAGTAGTAGTAGTAGTAGTAGTAGTAGTAGTAGTCGTAGTAGTCGAGTGTATAGTAGTAGTAGTAGTAGTAGTAGTAGTAGTAGTAGTAGTAGTAGTAGTAGTAGAGTAGTAGTAGTAGTAGTAGTAGTAGTAGTAGTAGTAGTAGTAGTAGTAGTAGTAGTAGTAGTAGTAGTAGTAGTAGTAGTAGTAGTAGTAGTAGTAGTAGTAGTAGTAGTAGTAGTAGTAGTAGGAGGAGGAGGAGGAGGAGGAGCAGCAGCAGGAGGAGGAGGTGCAGGGGTAGTGGAGGTGGAAGAACGAGTTGAGGAGGAGAAGGAGGCGGAGGAGGAGTTCGGTTGAGTTCAGTTACTTAGCCCGCGGAGGTCTCGACGGATGCAAGCGTCGCATTCTCTCGTGCCTCTCTGCGAGACGGCCCATAGCCTCTCGGACGGAGTGGGAGGAGGAGGAGGACGAGGAGAAGGAGGAGAAGGGTGGGAGGTGAAATTGGACCAGGAGGAATTAGCGGAGGCGGGGGAAGAGCAGGAAGGGGGAACCATGATATGAAGAAGAGCAAGCAGGCGAAGGGAAAGGGGGGGAGGGGGCCGCACAGGTCCTCTGGGAGGCATCTGGCCCACTCTTTCCGCCAGCACCCGCCGCCGCCCCAGGACCTCCTGGAGGCGATGCTGCAGTACGACCGCCACGGAAGAGTGACCATCCGAGAGGCGCCGCCCCCCTGCCCCCGGCGTGCGTGGGGACGAAGGTGTCGGGCGAGGACGACGGCGAGTTCCGGGCGAGAAGTGGAAGAGCGAGGGCGGGGGGCAACGAACATCAGTCCGAGGGTGGTGACGGGATGCCTGGCGAAATCGACGGCAGGGCGGTGCCCGGGCGAGAATTTGCCTGACTGGGGGGGCTCCCAAGAACAGTCAGGAGGGAAAAAACACACAGATACAATTAATCGCCAACTCCCGGAAAAAATATAGGAAAATATGGGAAGTGGGGGATCTGGTTATTTGTGCCTATTTATTTGTGTGTCCAAAGGGCCCCTTTGAACAGACGCCCCAGGGAGGTGTGGGAATGGCCGGCGAGGTGGTCGGCGGGGCGGCGCCGGGCGAACAATTGCAGTTACTGAGTGGGGAAGCCAAAGATACCGATGCCGCTACTCTTACGTCGGGCGCGTCTCTTCTCCACAGGAGGCATATTCAAAGATAGTCAAAAATAGCCGGGGGACGATTTTTTTGTATTATTGTTGAACATTTGGGGGGTATTTGTTATGTTTCGTCCGAAATCCGCCTGTAGGGGGACATGCCCGACCTAACGCTACTCCCTGGCCCTCTCCCGGGGTGCGTTCAGACGAACATTTCGAGGCGAATCCAACGGTGCCGACGAGGGCCTCCCATGAGGGCGACAAAGGGGAAAACGAGGGAAGGGTAGCTGTGCGAGCACCTTTTCGCCCTCCGAGCCTAGGAAGGAATCGAGACATCCGAGGGCCCCGCGCTGAACAAATCCCGATTCGGGGCCTTCTTTGGCGCGCCCGGGGCGAGAGAGGAAGCGCCCAGTACAGGCTCTTCGAGTCGCCGCCCTCAGCGCCCCGCGGAGGGGCCACCTCGGGGTCCCCCACGGGGACGCGAGGAGACGACGCTCCCCGCAGATCCCCCGCGGATTGCTTTTGGTCCACTGCCGGTTTTCTTCCGTTTCTGCCTCCACAGGCACGATCGAAATGGGTACGGAAAGATTGGGTACGAAGTCCAACAACAGTTCCTCTTCGTTTTGAGCAGGACTCGCTCTCCGCGCCACCGCGGACGTTGTCCGTTCGAGACAGAATGCCGTCAGCTCAGCAGCGGCGGCTGTCGGTTTAGGACAACATTTGCTCTTGGGCATCGTAACCATTTTCCTCGTACCCGTTATGGGCGCCCGGATCCTTGCCGAGACTTCCTCGGGTGATGGCAAAAGCAGGACGGCAGGTTGTTCATTCTTCTCGGCCTCTGGGGGCCCCTACCCGCCCACGGGACCGTCAACAAATCGACTCGGGAGGAAGAAGGAAGTCCCGAGGGAACGGGTCGAGACCTCTGGGGGCCGACGTCGAGAACAGACAATGACGTCGGGCGTCTTGGTGGCCCGGGGCCATCAGACATGCGTGAGGAGCGAAAAGTTGTCCCCGGGGTCCACGGATGCCGCGCACCGAATCAAGCATGAGCAAACATCATCGTCAGGTGTCTGGGGCTGCCTGCGGATTGTCATCATCAGCATATCTTCCGCGGATTGTCATTGTCTGCTTGTAGACTGCCGGTGTTCTTCCGCTTCTGCCTCCATGACCCGGGGCCCTCAGAAAGGAGTTGGGGGCGAACAGTTGTCCCTGGGGTCCTCAGGGAGGGGCCGCGCCTAGTCGTCGTTTTTTGATTCATTATTTTGGCGATCGGCGCGGGCCCTCGCACCCCCCCTCCCCCCCTCCCTGGAGTAGGTCTTGGCTGTTTTGAGCGCTTGTTTCGAACAGGTGGAGTCCCCCCCCCCCATAGGACGTACTGTTACAAACATCGCACGAAGCAGAGGTCTGGAGCCAGATGCTCCCCCTCCCCCCCCCCTTCCGCCCAATGTCGAAACGCCGGACAAAACAGTTCACCCAGAGAGAAAGACGCATCGTCGCAGGTGTCTGGGGCTCTCCGCAGGAGGCCTCCCGCGCTTTTGGTAAGGGCAGCCGCTGCGCGCGCCTTTTCCTGGCCGAGGCCAGGGAGGCCTGTGTCCCTGGGGCCCCGGGGGAGGGCCCCAGCTGGGCCCGGTGGTGGCATGCCCTCGAGCGGAGACTCCTGGTGGAAGGCCGTCTCTGTCTCAAGCAGTGGCGAAGCGTCCTGACTCGCCTATAGGCCCACCAAAGAATGGTCTAAGAACCTTCTGTGGTCTGCGCGAAATGTTCTCAGAACATTTCTGGCTGAGGCTGTCTTGTTTTACATCTGGTTTGTGTTATCAGAACGTTGTTTTTGCTTTTAGGACACTTGGGAGTTGCAAGAGCATCTCGTAGTATGCCTATAGGAATCCCAGGACGGTCGGTCCCTGCTCAATTGTCGTCGCCGCGTGTGGTCTCAAGGACAGTCTGAAGCGTAAGCCTCAATGAGGCTCGGAGGCTTCGTCCTCCCAGGAATCACCGTCGTCATCAGGGCTGCGGCCTCTCTCGGTGGAGATTTGCCCAATCTCTGTCACCCATTCGAAATCAGGTACAACTAGCCAGACGCAGCGGATCATTATTTGGCGCTGCACCGTTTTGCTTGGGAGAGCCGCTGGGGCAGCATAGACCCCAGGCGGCTCGTGCTCATCCCCAGATGGCTCAGCCCGCTGCGGCTCCCAAGTGCTACGAAGCTTGCCAGCCGTACAGTCGGACTGAGGTATAAGATCGAGATCGGTTCGGGGTGGGTGCTCTGATGTTCTTCGTGTTCGTTGGATCTTCTTGTGCATCCGGCGGGAGGGTACCCTCGAATGATTTTTAGGTTTGGGGTGTTTTGGCCGGCGGCGGGTCTCATGTTCTTGAAGTCGATTCTTCCGTCCTCGCTCCGACCGTGCCGCTGCCCTGGGGGGCCCAGCGTCCAGGGAGGAGGAGCACCTCGACCTCCACAGCTGATCGCGATGGTGGCTGTCCTGCCCTGGGGGGCCCAGCGTCCAGGGAGGAGGAGCACCTCGACCTCCACAGCTGATCGCGATGGTGGCTGCCCTGCCCCCCGACATC